CGATCCAGTCTGGTCCTTCAAATCCAGGCTATGAGTGGCCAATCTGAGAGTAAACCAAAGAAAATGTCGGGTGGGCAATAAGGAGACTAAATACTGAGGTGTATTTGTCCTGTTGACAGCTTGTGAAGTTCTGTTTTGGCTCCAGATGACGAAGGAGTCAAATGCCTGTCTTACCCAGTGGTACTTAGCATTTCAGTTCTTTTGGTTCTGGGTAGGACACAGTCCCAAAAAGGGGCGTGAGAAGGTGGACTTCTTCTCATGGAGAGATGAGGAGATCTGGATATTCGGTGAGTGCACCAACAGGTCCACTCACGGCAGGGAGGTAGGTGAAGCAGCGTTCTCCCCTTTTACCAGTCAGCCTGGAGCCCACAAACAGAACAGACTGTGGCAAATAAGGAGACTCCCTGCTCTGCCCTAGTGACTATTTCATCCGGAAGAGGAAGCTGGATAGGGGAGGGGACACTAGGATCTGACCAGCCTGTAAGAGGCTGTGATCTCCCAGCTCTGGAAGTTTACTCTGAGCAGACACAAGAGACTTTGTTTGGACTCTAGTTAGTGGGATCTGAACATGGATGTGGAGATGAAGGGCATTTGGTTTGTTATTACATGGGCTCCCGTCCCAGGGCGTCATTAAGGGAGACACTTCTTTGGACTAGTTTGTTCTGTCTTTTCATTGCCCTGATCTGTGCAAGTGCATGGCTTGACACGAGTAACGGGAGGGAAGGTGGCTCACCCAGAGTGCCACATCTGCCCAAAAGGGGGCACTTGGGTTGGCCTTTCCCTTTACATAGGACCAAGGCCCAGTGATGCTCAAGATTTCTGAAATTTCAACCTGAAAGGCTTTTCATTAAACACTCTTGGGAGGGAGGGAATAGGAGGGATGGTTTCAGTACTGGCATTGCCCATCTTGAGCATACCAAGCACCTGTTGTTAGACATGAACCGGGACTGGAAAGGTCTAGAAGCTCTGAATCAAAAGGAATACCCGACACCTAGTCGTTACAGAGCGGGGACCTAGAGGGCTAATACCTCGCTTATGATATACAGACTTTTGCCAGACCTGATTCGCTTCACAATACAGGGCTCGAGTGGGACGTAAGTAATGCCCAGGAACTGGTTCCCTGCACAGCAGTGAGTTGTTGTTACCCACAGAGCCAGATTCACAAAGGTATTTAGGTTCATGGCTCAGACTGATTTCAATGGGAGTTAGGCACCTAAGTAGCTCGTTTGACTCTGGGCCGTCGTGGCTAGTAAATAGGGAATGGAGCCGAAAGGAAAACAAAAAGCTTGCTATTAGGAGACAGAATCAGTTTAATGTGAAAACGATGAGAAGTACACAGGAGGAGATGGGAAGTAGCAGAGTAAAAAGAAAATATTTCCCGGGTTTCGAGAAAGTCGTTAACAAATCACCCGTTAGAAGGTGACGCATTTCACACCAGAAGTTGTGGTAGACAATAGAGGAAAAAGTCATAAAGTGTAACTTGGGCAATAAAGATACTGGGCAGATTTACGGAGGTGCTGAGGACTCACGGCTCCCATGGGAGTTGTGCGCCATCAGCATTTCCGAAAGCCATTACCCGTGAGGCCAGCCGTGATTCCGTAACTCGCTTTACGTTTCCTGGTTGTTCCTTGTTCCAGGTCTATTGCTCCTCGGCGAAACATGGCCAGAACTTTCCATAGCCGTACCCATGGCCCCATCGGTAAGGGTAGTGGCAATCATACTGATGGCCCCACCCATACCTGTATGGCCTCTGGTAACCCCAGGGCCTATAGCAGCCATAATGGCCTCTATAGCCGCGCCAGCCCTTGTAACAGTAGGGGTTATAATACAATTCCTCATTCATGAGTTCGTCGAAAGTCATCTTTCTGCGCTGGAGGTTAACCTGAAACACACAGCAGGGAAAAGAGTCAACACAATGCACTAGGGCCAGTGGAATAAAAAGGGTCAAAACTCAGTGACTCTTGTACTGCCGGCCAGGGAGATACAGAGAGAGATGGAGCAGGGAAATGAAGACTTACACCCTCATGTCCTGGCTACCTATTTCCTCCCAGTTTCTCCTTGTAGTCCTCGTGCTCCCCTCTCTCTTAGCCTCCCTCTTATCCAACCCTTCTGAACACTTCTCAGTCCCTTTCTCTTAAGAACACTGTCTGGAGTAAGTAAACCTACAATACAGAGTATTTCTGTCATGCACACATGGGATTTTTATTCCCTTTGACAAAATGTTTATACGGAGCATGGCAGGGACATATTTGTTAGGGATCATTTCATTGTGAGTATTTAACCTCAGCAGAGAGATCAGTTCTCTTCAAAATCAGCACGTGGCGCTTTTGCTTCTGAAGCTTTTGAGTCAGGAATACTTACTAATGAATGAATGGACAATATTCTTTTGTCAAAACACTAAGAACCAGTTCCTCGGCTGGTAGAAATCAGCACTGTTCAACTGAGTTCAGTGGAGTTACACCAGTTGTGGATCTGCATCTGAATATGCTCCTAGTGCACAGAGGAGCACAGAAATTGCCCTACTGGATCAGAATAATCTGTCTGGAACAATGTTCAGTACCAGCTGCCACAGAATCATGCAGAAGCACACAGAAGAGATCTGTAGGGAATAAACTGGGGGAGTTTCTTCCTAACACCACAAATTGAAAAGTTGGGTCTGAGATTTTTCAACTCTACCAAAGGGATTTGAACACTTTATTTTTAATGAAAATAAAGAGGACCTTGTGTCCCAAATTCCTATGTACCTCTGAAGAGTGCAGTCTTAACTTCGAAACCATGAATCCACCAATGCCTGCAACTTAATAAATTTTTGTAAATGGGAAAACCCCTTAAGAGAGCCAATAATCACAGAGTTATGCATAAGTTTCAGTCAGAAATTAAACCATCACTAACACAACATCTTGATAGCTATAGAAAGATAGAGTCAAATCAGACTTACCAAGGTTACCAAGGAGGATAAGTCAAGAGAAGTGGTTAAAGAACCCTGAGTCGCGAGCACTTTTATACAGTTTCTTAAACCGCCCAGAGAGTTTGAGACATCCTTTTGCTCGAGGTCTTAATTAGTTACAAAACATATTTCCTGGGCACATGACTCCTCCAATTGATATAATTGTTTTCTTCTTTGTTCAGGATTGTTGTGTTTCAGCCTCACATGGGCTATGACATGCACATACAAGCCCACAGGTTTCTTTCATTTTAAATTTTGATGGGACACATTCCTTCCTGGTATCATTCTAGTGACCTCCTTTGGAGTTGTCAAGGAGATTCAGGGCCGTATCTGTTGCACAATCTGCTGTCATGCAGAGGAATCCAGTTTGGTCCTGCTAAGCTATGCTGATATGTATTGTGGGCATTGTACAGCTCCTGTAACTGCTAGGAGGGAGGGGGAAATCTCAATGCTCAGAACCTGTAACCCCAAGTTTTGAGATCTAACGCCCATTGAAATCAATATGAGATATTATTCTGAGTGGGTTTTGACTCAGACCCTATGACTTGAAAAATCCCCTGGGAGAAAGAAGGTATAAGGTCTTTGACCTCTCTAAATCCCATTTCATCTTTCAAATTAGGTCTTAAGAGGGACCTGAGAGTTGAATAGGCCTTTGTGTTGGTCCTCTGTGCAGGGGTGAATTTCCCCATACATTGATTAGAGATTTAGTTCATAATCTACCTCTAGTTATGTCATGTATGCTGTGGGGTCAGGATGATCATGATGGCAGAAACTCATAGTTTTGCCTACTGTGGGGTTGCTCTTGGGTTGAGGGGAGGGAGGGTGGTGGGTGATAAAAAGCATTGCAATATTTCATAAAGGCTTTGAGATCAATCCTGGATCATTTACGGCATCAGGAATATGATCTCCCTCTAACAACATCCGATACAATTCTTGTCTTGCAGGAAAATGCAGCTGATAAAGCCTCAGACAAAACACAGGAAAGCTGCAGATACGACCTTCTTGGCCAAGGATGTGTTATAAGATTATATTAATTCAACGTCTGACCAAGTTTAGAACATGCTGCAAGACTTGGAGCTTGCAGAAGGGTTTTGAGAATGAGTAGAATGATTTTTAAAGTGTAACAACCTCTCTCCTAAAAGGCTCTTTTCTCTAACCAGGCAAGGTTGAAGACCCATATGTTGATTCAAATGTCATGAACATCTTTGAATTCTATGGAGCTGTCTTTATTTATGCCGGGTGATCTCCTGCTCCTAAACTTCAAAAGTAATTTGTATACTAAAAGGAAATGCAATCTTTTTTTTAATTAAAATCAAATAGTCCGAAACTCTGCACTATAAATCATGACGCGATTAGGAGAATGACACGAGTGACCTTGACCTGCATTTTTAAAGTGACTCTATTACTCATTAGAAGGGCGTCTTCCAGAAAGAAATTATTACTATCATAATCATCCAAGACTTTGGACATCAAGAACTTTAATTTATGTTTGTGAAGTGCTCTGATATCTGGAGTCCTGGGGAAATATAACATCCACTAGAATGTTATCACTCCTGTTTTATGTGCAAATAAAGAGAGATACATTGGGGTGAAGGTCACAGAGTGGCACAAGTGGCAAAGTTACAAATAACACGCCATAGACTAGACAGCATTTGCTACCCACTTCATTGAAGCTGAACTTTTTTAGAGCTAATGTAGGTGGAACAGGTACACGGTCCACGTTGCTGGAGGAGATGGGACAATATTTTGAGGGAAATATGAGGTTTGAGTTAAAATTCTGCTTTATCGTCACAGTCAAATGGGGATAATTCAGGAATGGAATTTTCCACAGGAATAAACTTAAGTGTCTTATCACAATGTTCTGGATATTTGAATTCTAAACTGAAGATTATGATACTGATCCTTATTATGATCATTATGATTATGATCCATCAGAGATCAGTTCTGGGTCCAGTTCTGTTCAATTTCTTCATCAATGATTTAGATAATGGCATAGAGATGAACATGAACATCTTTGAATTCTATGGAGCTGTGTTTATTTATGCCGGCTGATCTCCTGCTCTTAAACTTTAAATGGAATTTTTATACTAAAAGGAAATGCAATCTTTTTTTTAATGGAAATCAAATAGTCCGAAACTCTGAGCTACAAATCATGACCCGATTAGAAGAAAGACACGAATGACCTTGACCTGCATTTTTAAAGTGACTCTATTACTCATTAGAAGGGCATCTTCCGGTAAGAAACTATTACTATCATATGGGGTCAAGGTTGTAACTCAAAGATTGTATAAAACACTGTCCCACCAACCCTCGGTGTGAACAATGAGCAACCCCACAATAAACAGCTTTGCGCGGTTCTGCCACGGTGATCATACTAACTCCATGCCATTGGTGGACCACGCCATTGCCAATGGTCCATTGGTGACACAACTGGAGCTCTGTTGAGAGCTGTATTTCTAATCACCGTAAGGTGAAATTCACTCCAGGGCAGAGGGGCAGCACAGAAGCTTATGCAAACTTAGGTGTGTGAGAAGAGCTATTTTTGAATGCATCTAAGTGGGACCTATGTGGTTTATAGCTCTTGTATTGCCCCTCTGCCAGGGTTAATTTCAAGTCATGTGGCTTTATGAACATCCCACTGAAGTCAATGGATTAACTACCATTCATTTCCATGGGCATTGGTTCGGCTGCATTATGGGTAGAGGTGCTGTACATGATACTGACGCACAGATCCGGTTCTGAATTTCCTTCAGATTCATTCTCAGTGTAACGCCAATGAAGTCAGGAGAATGAGACCAGGAAAACAGTTCATCAGTAAAATATTTAGTACAATTGATTCCTGCAGGATGTAATGAGCCGATTATTCCATGCGAGTTTAAGAACAGATTAATAACCACAAGCACTGAGGAAAACAATTATATCAATTAGAAGCGTGACATGTGCAACAAAATTTGTTTTGCAACTAATAAAGACCTGATGCGCAGCGATGTCTCAGTCCTCCATGTGGTAAAACAAACAATATAAAAGCTCTTGTGAGTCCAGCTCTTCTAACCACTTCTCTTGATTTAGTTTCCTCGGTGAATTGGGTAAGTCTGATTTGAATCAATCTTTCTATAACTATTGAGTGTCACGTTAGTAATGGTTTTAATTTAGAACTGAATTTTCCAATTAGACCCTGTGTTTTTTAGCAATGCTAAGGAGTTTTTCCATTGTTCTTAAGTTGCAGACATTGGTGGATTCATGCTTTAGAAGTTAATGGTGGGATTTGCAGAGCAACATATGTGTTTCTGACACCCAATGCCTATGACTCTTAATTGGAAAGAGGGAATTGGAATTCCTTTGGTAGCTTTGAATAATCTCCTACCCCAGTGTTAGTTAAGAGGTTCGGGGAAGAAACTTTTTCACTTCCTTCCACAAATGACTGACACACTGTTCTTTTACTTCATTCGGAAGTAGTTGGTACTCAACACCCTGAGACAGTATAATGGATTAAATGGCCCACCGGTCTGACATAATGTGACAATTATTATATTCTGGTGTGCGACTAAGAATTTCAGAGGCACATCTTAGGCTGGTGTAGGTTAGCAAGTATCTCTGAGTCACAAGCTTTAAAAGCCCAAGCGCCACATTCTGGTTCTAGAGAGAACTCGTCTCCATGCTGAGGTTAAATCCTCACAAAGACACAGCCAGACTTTGCCGCAAACTTTTGTGCAAGAGAATACAAGGCGTGAGAGGAATAGTCTATAGCACATATTTACTTTGCCATCCGTATTTTTCAGAGAAAGGGACCGAGAGAGAATTAAAGGGGTTGGTTAAGAAGGAGGCAAAGAATGAGTGAAGGAAGACAATTAGGAGGAGGAAATGGAAGGGAACTAGGTCCTCATTTCCCTGCTCCATCTCTCTCTGTCTCTCTCTCTCCAACACAGTAATAACTGAGCATTGAGCCTTTTATTCCACTGGCCCTAGTGCATTGTGTTGACTCTTTTCCCTGCTGTGTGTTTCAGGTTAACCTCCAGCGCAGAAAGATGACTTTCGACGAAAGCATTAATGATGAATTGTATTATAACCCCTGGAGTCACGGGTGCTGGCACGGTTCCAGGGGCCATTACGGCTGCGGGAGGCCATGGGGTTATGGGAGGCAATCCAGGTGGGGGTGGGGCCATGGTTACGATTGCTACTACCCTTACTCTTCCCGATGGGGCCATTGGTACCCCTATGTAAAGCAGTGGCCCTGTTAAACCCAGCAGGAATAGCCCAAGGACAAGGAACAACAAGGATATGAAAAACAAGATGTGGATTCACGGCTGAGATTTTGGGGATTGGCTTTCGGAAATGCCGAGCACCTATGACTCCAATGGGAGCTGTGAGTGCCTAGGAGCTCTGTAAAACTACCCCATATCTGTATTTCCCAGGTTACATTTTATGACTCTTTCTTCAAATGCCTTCCATGTTATCTGCCTCTATAATTCTCCCAGGGCCTGGATCTCAGGGTACGTCTATACTTACCTCTGGGTCCGGCGGTAAGCAATCGATCTTCTGGGATCGATTTATCGCGTCTTGTCTAGATGCAATAAATCAATCCCGGAAGTGCTCGCCGTCGACACCGGTACTCCTGCTCCGCGAGAGGAGTACGCGGAGTTGATGGGGGAGCCTGCCTGCCGTATGTGGACCCGCGGTAAGTACCTTGTAGTTCGAACTAAGGTACTTCGACTTCAGCTACGTTATTCATGTAGTTGAAGTTGCGTATCTTAGTTCGAACTGGGGGGTTAGTGTGGACCAGCCCTTAGTTCCATGCAGACGCCTTTATGCCACTCTGATAGTGTAAATGAAGCAAGGGCCTTAAGGTTGGCTGAAATACCACTTACACTCACTTGAATGCTCCTTACAGAGCAGTGCACACGGGTCTTTGTGGCAATGAGAATTAGGCCCTGGGTTTTCTCGCCCTTTCATGAATATGTACTTTTTGTTTCTGACTTTAATTTTGCTACAGAAAATGTATCATGGAGAAGCAGCTTAGTGCTCTGCTCATGTTGGGATTTGTCTCATCTGACCCTGACTGGGATGAAGCAAATACCTTGAAATGGTTACAAACAGGACTTGAATGTCAAAGGCTACAGCTGCCATGAAGAAAGAAGAACATCTGGTGTGAAATGTCTCACCTTGGAACGGGTGATTCATTCTTAACTATCTCGAAACCCTGAAAATAGATTCTTTTTATTTCCTTCTGTTTCCATGTGCTCCTCTTTTAATTCACATTAAACTGATTCTGCATTATAAGATCAGTGTTCTGGTTTTCCTTTCGGCTCCATTCCTTGTTTACCAACCCCTGAGGCCCAGATTCACAGAGCTACTTAAGTGCCTGACTCCCACTGTAGTCAATGGGAGTAAGGCACCTAAATACCCTTGTGAATCTGGGAGTATGGGTAAAAATTCACTCTTGTGCAGGCTACCAGTGCCTGTTCCCTCTTTAAGTCTCACTTGAGCCCTGTAGTGCAAAAAGCAACAAAGAGTCCTGTGGCACCTTATAGACTAACAGATGTATTGGAGCATAAGCTTTCGTGGGTGAATACCTACTTCGTCAGACGCGTGATGACTAACACGGCTACCCCTCTGATACTGTAGTGCAAAGACCATCAGGCCTGGTAAGACTCTGTAAATCATAGATAAGGTATTACCCCTGTCCCTGACATGTAGAGATTACAATCTAGTTAGAAGTCATCAGTGATCTCCAACCCATCCTGGACAATGATCCCTCGCTTTCACAGACCTCGGGAGGCAGGCCAGTCCTCGCCCACAGACAACCTGCCAACCTTAAGCATATTCTCACCAGCAACCACACATTGCACCATGGTAATTCTAACTCAGGAACCAATCCATGCAACAAACCTCGATGCCAACTCTGCCCACATATCTACACCAGCAACACCATCACAGGACCTAACCAGATCAGCTACAACATCACCGGCTCATTCACCTGCACGTCCACCAATGTAATATACGCCATCATGTGCCAGCAATGCCCCGCTGCTATGTAGATCGGCCAAACTGGACAATCCCTACATAAAAGGATAAATGGACACAAGTCAGATATTAGGAATGGCAATATACAAAAACCTGTAGGAGAGCACTTCAACCTCCCTGGACACACAGTAGCAGATTTAAAGGTAGCCATCCTACAGCAAAAGAACTTCAGGACCAGACTTCAAAGAGCTTCAGTTCATTTGCAAATTTGACACCATCAGCTCAGGATTAAACAAAGACTGTGCATGGCTAGCCAACTACAAAAGCAGTTTCTCCTGCCTTGGTGTTCACACCTCAACTGCTAGAAGAGGGCCTCATCCTCCCTGATTGAACTAACCTCGTTATCTCTAGACTGATTCTTGCCTGCATATTTATACCTACCTCTGGAAATTCCCACTGTTGCTTTTTACAGATCCAGACTAACACGGCTACCCCTCTGATAGTTAGAAGTAGACAGTCACGGACGTAAACGCTACAAGTTCTGAGATTCAACATTCATGTTGTACTCCTTTAGATGACCATTCTAGATCCAGGCAATGCCATGTCGTTCACCTTCATATTGAGATTCTGGATTCCGATCCACCAGTAAAACACAAATTAACCCCGTAAGCATTCTTTGTATTGATGTGTTCATAGCCTGGTCTTTTATGCAAGCACCAAAAGATATAATAAAAATGGACTCATGAGACATGTAGCAAACACAACTAAGTCCATTCTCCCAACAGAATTTGTGTTTTAGTTCAGTAATGGAATCCAAGAGATTTCAAGGTAGTGTGTACCCACAGCCCTGCTAATGAACATTGTTTTTATAAACTGACCTGAGATACCATACCTTGACATGGCAGGAACCACAAATGAATCAATGACCGCACTCTATGCATCCGAAGAAGTGAGGTTTTTACTCACGAAAGCTTATGCCCAAATAAATCTGTTAGTCTTTAAGGTGCCACCAGACTCCTTGTTGTTTTTGTAGATACAGACTAACACGGCTACCCCCTGATACTTTTAAATGTGTGGGGTTCTCAACAGATAGAATTTTTTCATTGATTATCTTTTTGATTTTTTGACATCAACATGGACGTTTTGGGGTGGTGATGGGGGGAAGATATTAAAAGACAAAAAGATCAATAGTTATTATTGTGCTAGAGACTGGGTAGTTTAGTTTTGGGAAAACTGGAAATCATTTTTTTTTAAATCCTGGCCTGCCACTTTGAGCAGGATATTGGGTGAGTAGGAGGTAAAACTCACATTACTAATATCTTCCAGTTTCCCATGACATGAGAGATACCTCCCAGTTAGAAACAAGTATTGTATAGCATCAGCAGTGCCACAAGGTGAGCAAGAAATGTAAGTTCATATTTCCTTTCTGATATGGCAGTGTACTTTATGCCATCCAATAACAGGCAAAGAAATAATTTTCACTATACTTAGAGCTCATATATTTTTATGTATGCAAAAACCTTGCTTAATTACTCCATACACCTTGTCTGTGAGGCAGGTAACTACATCTCAGTAGGTAACTACAGCTGTTGAAGCACAGAAGGGAGATATGATTTGTCCAGGGTCCCACAGTAGGCCCTGAACTCCATGAGAATCAGATATTGTGTATGCAAGAATCAGTCCTAAATTATAACTATCATTAATGTGACACCCAAATAGTTATAACGAGACTGATTCATGTCAGACTTACCCATTTCACCAAAGAAAATAGGTCAAGAGAAGAGGTTAGAATAGCTTTAGTCACTAGAACTTGTATACAATTTCTCAGTTCTTCTGGAGGATCTGAAACACCCTTTGCTCTTGAGGTCCCTATTAATTAGAGGTCGCTCTTTTAGCTGATATAATTATATTTCCTCTGTGTTTGTGATTACTGCTCTGTTCTCAAACTCACACCGAAATTGTGACAGATATTGTAACCTCACACACTCGCACTGGGGGAACATACTGTATAATGTTTATGTATCGCTATAGGCCAGGGACTATATAGATGCACCTTTCTACTGAAGGGGGAACTAGAACAGTGAGAGGTGATTAAAGTAAATTACTCACAATTGTAAACACCTGCACAGAGGTGCAACCCCCATGGAGCCTCGCATAGACAGGTTCACAGTGGGTTTCCCAGAAAACAACAAAGAAAGAGTTTTTGATATCAACAGGCTGAATGTGAATTGACTCAGGGCCGTCTTTCTGATCCAGCAAATGGACAGGAGCTCGTATCCCAGGGGCCCCCAAAATTAGCAGAAGAGTTGGAAAGACTTTGGCCTACTAGCGTCCCATAAGATTGATGGGTGGCCTCTGGTAAGCTTTTAGAATGCATATGGGAACTATTATTGTTTTCCTCTGTTTTCTCTGTAATGCTTTGAACCATGGCTGAAAAGATCTAGCTGTAGTGAATAAAAAGGAACGCTAAACCCCCTATTTGGGTTAGTTTGTACAAAAAAGTGAACGTCAGGGCTAATATCTCTCTTACGATTTACAGACTCTTGCCGGACCTGATTTTCTTCACATTACAGGGCTAGAGTGGGAATTAAGTAACGCATAGGTGCTGGCTCCCTGCACAGGAGTGAATTGTTGCCCACAGGCCCAGATTCACAAGGGTATTTAGGTGCCTCACTCACATTGACTACAGTGGGAGTCAGGTACCTAAGTAGCTATGTGAATCTGGGCCTCAGGGGTTGGTAAACAAGGAATGGAGCCGAAAGGAAAACCAGAACACTGATATTATAATGCAGAATCAGTTTAATGTGAATTAGAAGAGGAGCACACGGAAACAGACAGAAATAAAAAGAATCTATTTCCAGGGTTTCGAGATAGTTAAGAATGAATCACCCGTTCCAAGGTGAGACATTTCACACCAGATGTTCTTCTTTCTTCATGGCAGCTGTAGCGTTTGACATTCAAGTCCTGTTTGTAACCATTTCAAGGTATTTGTTTCATCCCAGTCAGGGTCAGATGAGACAAATCCCAACATGAGCAGAGCCCTAAGCTGCTTCTCCATGATACATTTTCTGTAGCAAAATTAAAGCCAGAGACAAAGAGTACATACTCATGAAAAGCCTAGAAAACCCAGGGCCTAATTCTCATTGCCACAAAGACCCGTGTGCACTGCTCTGTAAGAAGTCTTCAAGTGAGTTTAAATGTCATTTCTGTGAACCTTAAGGCCCTTGCTTAAAGTACAATGTCAGGGTGGCCTAAACGGGCCTACATGGAGGTGAGATTCAGGCCTTCAGATAGGTATAGAAGCAGCAGAGAGTGAGCACGGAAAGCATTAGAGGAAACGGTCATGAATTGTGACCTGGGAAATGCAGAAAGGGGAAGATTTACGGAGGTGCTGAGGACTCACAGCTCCCATGGGAGTTGTGCGCAATCAGCATTTCCGAAAGCCATTGCCCGTGAGCCCAGCTGTGATTCCGTAACTCGCTTTACGTTTCCGGGTTGTTCCTTGTTCCGGGTCTATTGCTCCTCGGCGAAACATGGCCAGAACTTTCCATAGCCGTACCCATGGCCCCATCGGTAAGGGTAGTGGCAATCATACTGATGGCCCCACCCATACCTGTATGGCCTCTGGTAACCCCAGGGCCTATAGCAGCCATAATGGCCTCTATAGCCGCGCCAGCCCTTGTAACAGTAGGGGTTATAATACAATTCCTCATTCATGAGTTCGTCGAAAGTCATCTTTCTGCGCTGGAGGTTAACCTGAAACACACAGCAGGGAAAAGAGTCAACACAATGCACTAGGGCCAGTGGAATAAAAAGGGTCAAAACTCAGTGACTGTTGTACTGCCGGACAGGGAGATACAGAGAGAGATGGAGCAGGGAAATGATGACTTACACCCTCATGTCCTGGCTACCTATTGCCTCCCAGTTTCTCCTTGTAGTCCCCTTGCTCCCCTCTCTCTTAGCCTCCCTCTTATCCATCCCTTCTGAACACTTCTCAGTCCCTTTCTCCTAAGAACACTGTCTGGAGTAAGTAAACATACAATACAGAGTATTTCTGTCATGCACACATGGGATTTTTATTCCCTTTTACAAAATGTTTAGCATGGCAGGGACAAATTTATTAATGTTCGCTTCTTTGGAGGATTTAAGCTCAGCAGACAGATGAGTTCTCTCCAGAATCAGAGATTTGGCTTCTGAAGCTTGTGAGTCCGCAAGAATGGACAATATTCTTTTGTCAAAAGAAAACACTAAGAACCAGATCTTCAGCCGGTAGAAATTAGCACTGTTCAACTGAGTTCAGTGGATTACAGCTACATTACACCGGCTGTGAATCTGCATCTTCGAATGCTCCTAGTGCACAGAAGAACATAGAAATTGCCCTAATGGATCAGATCAGAATAATCTGTCTCAAATAAATTGTAGGTACCAGCTGCCACGGAATAAAATAGAAGAACCCATCAGTGGTCTGTTAGGGAATAAACTGGGGGTGTTTCTTCCTAACCCCATTAACTGAAAAGTTGGGTCTGAGATTTTTCAAATCTACCAAGGGGATTTGAACACTTTATTTTTAATGAAAATAAAGGGGACCTAGTGTCCCAAATGTCTATTTACCTCTGAAGATTTCAGCCTTAACTTCTAAACCATGAATACATGAATGCCTGCAACTTAGTAACTTACCATATTTTCAATGGGAAAACTCCTGAACAGAGCCAATAATCAGAGAGTTAAGTGCAAGATTCAGTCATAAATTAAACCATCACTAACACAAAATCTTGATAGCTATAGAAAGATAGAGTCAAATCAGACTTACCAAGGTCACCAAGGAGGATAAGTCAAGAGAAGTGGTTAAAGAACCCTGAGTCGCGAGCGCTTTTATACAGTTTCTTAGATGGCCTGGAGAAACTGAGACGTCCTTTTGCTCGAAGTCTTAATTAGTTACAAAACATTTTGCAGGGCACATGACTCCTCCAACTGATATAATTGTTTTCTTCTGTGTTCAGGATTGTTGTGTTTCAGCCTCAGGTGGGGTATGACATGCACATACAAGCCCACGAGTTTCTTTCATCTTAAAACTTTTATGGGACACATTCCTTCCTGATATCATTCTAGTGACCTCCTTTGGAGTTCCAATGAGAATGATTGTCAAGGAGATTCTGGGCTGTATCTGTTGCACAATCTGCTGTCATGCAGAGGAATCCAGTTTGGTCCTGCTAAGCTACGCTAGTATGTACTGTAGGCATTGTACAGCTCCTGTAATTCCTAGGAGGGAGGGGAAAATCTGATTGCTTAGAACCCGTAACCCCAAGTTTTGAGATCTACTGCCCATTGAAATCAATGTGAGACATTATTCTGGGTGGGTTTTGACTCAGACCCTATGACCTGAAAATCCCCCCTGGAAGAAAGACAGTATAAGGTTTAAGAACCATTGAGGTTCCATTTCATCTTTCAAAATAGGTCTTAAGAGGGATCTAAGAGCTGAATAGGCCTTTGTGCTGTTCCTCTGTGCAGGGGTGAATTTCCCCTTACATTGATTAGAGATTCAGTTCATAATCCACCTCCAGTTATGTCACCAATGCTCTGGGATCAGGATGACCATGATAGCAGAAGCTCATGGTGTTGCCTACTGTGGGGTTGCTCTTGGGTTGAGGGGAGGGAGGGTGGTGGGTGAGAAAAAGCATAGCATATTTTATAAAGGCTTTGAGATCAATCCTGGAACATTTACAACATCGTAACATGATCTACCTCCAACAACAGCCAAGACAATTCTCGTTTTGCAGGAAAAGGCAGATGATAAAGCCTCAGACCAAACACAGGAAAGATGGAGATACGGCCTTCTCTGTCAAGGATGTGTTATAAGATTAGATTAATTCAATGTCTGACCAACTTTAGAGCATGCTACAAGACCCGGAGCTTGCAGAAAGCTTTTGAGAATGATTTTTAAAGTGTAACAGCCTCTCTTCCTAAAGGCTCTTTCCTTTAATGAGGCAAGATTGAAGAGCCTTATGTTGATTCAAATGCCATGAACATCTTTGAATTCTGTGGAACTGTGCTTATATATGCTGGGTGATCTCCTGCTCCTAAACTTTAAATGGAATTTGTATACTAAAAGGAAACGCCATCTTTTTTTTAATGGAAATCAAATAGTCTGAAACTCTGCGCTACAAATCATGACCTGATTAGGAGAATGACACAAGTGACCTTGACCTGCATTTTTTAAAGTGACTCTATTACTCATCATAAAGGCGTCTTCCAGTAAGTAGCTATTATTATCATAATATTCCAACACTCTGGACATCAATAACCCTAATGAATGTTTGTGAAGTGCTTTGATATCTGGAGTCGTTATTTAGACACAGATTAATCAGAGGCACCTTGAGGTGACGGTCACACAGAGAACAAGTAGCAAAGTCCGAAATAAGAGGCAGTATTTTTGACTACATGTGCTACATACCTCTCACTGATCCTGAACCCTCTTAGCCCCTTCACATTCTTGGCTTCCAAATATGTCACTAGCAAGAGATAAGGTGGGGAAGATAATATCTTTTATTAGACAAACTTCTGTAAGCTTTCATGCTCTCTCAGAAGGATAGCTCTGTGTAAACTGAAAAGCTTTTCTTTTTCACCTACAAAAGCTATGACTTCACCCACCTTGTGTCTCTAATATCTTGGGTCCATAAGAGCTACCACAACACTGAAAACTAGCGAGAGATTAATAAACACAAAGACACATTCATGGATTTGTTTTGTTTTTGTCTTTTGTTTGGCTAGTTTCTGGAGGAATCATTTTCCAAACTGAGCTTAAATGACAAACTAGACCATGTTGAGATCATGTTTATCTTGGCCTTCTTCATACATGAAAATAATTGTCCAAAATAAAGTTGCCTATTAAGAAACCAAAAATACTAAATGTTATTAATAAGACAACACACATTTCTAATGTTGCCGTGTAATGCAGTTTAATGGTGTTCATCTCAAGGAGTAATACATGGTACAAGCTGTCAGGATTATTGTCTTTTATTTCTATTTCTGCAACTGAATCCTTGTGTGACCTTCAACACAATGTGCCTCTGTTTATTTACATATATAATGAAGATAACAACACTCCTGCTGGATGTTGGGGGGCTTCCTCAGAATTTATAGAATCATAGAAGTGTAGGATGGGAAGAGACCTCGAGAGATCATCTAGTCCAGTCCCCTGCACTCAAGGCAGGACTAAGTAAGAACTAGACCATTCTTGACAAGTGTTTGTCTAATCTGTTCTTAAAAACCCTCCAATGGCAGAGATACCACAACCTCCCTTTGTGGAAGCAATTTGTTCCCGTGCTTAACTACCCTTTCCTAATGTCCAAACTAAACCTTCCTTGATGCAATTTAAGCGCATTGCTTCTTGTCCTATCCTCAGAGGCTAACGAAACCAATTTTTCATCCTCCTCCTTGTAACAACCTTTTATGTACTTGAAAACGGTTATCATGTCCCGCCTCAGTCTTCTCTTCTTCAGACTAAATAAACCCAATAAACCCTCATAGGTCATGTTTTCTAGACCTTTAATAAATTTTGTTGCTCTTCTCTGGACTTTCTCCAATTCATTCACATCTTTTCCTGAAATGCGATGCCCAGAACTGGACACAATACTCCAGCTGAGGCCTTATCAGCATGCAGTAGAGTGGGAGAATTACTTCTCATGTCTTGCTTACAACACTCCTGTGAACACTTCCAGAATGATGTTTGCTTTTTTTGTTACACTGGTGACTCATATTTAGCTTGTGATCCACTATAACCCCCAGATCCCTTTCCACAGTACTTCTTCCTAGGCAGATGTTTCCCATTTTGTATATATGCAACTGATTGTTCCTTCCTAAGTGGAGTACTTTGCATTTGTCCTTATTGAATTTCATCCCATTTACTTCAAACCATGATACCAAAGTATTTCACACGTACTCATTACAATTTTACAAGTCAAAGTGTTGTATGATAATAATAATTATAACATTCATTCTTGGAAGACAGACATGTTTTGAGTAATAGGGATCACTTTAAAAATGCATGTCAAGTTTTCTTATTCCTATGCATTAATTAGGTCATGACTTATAGCCTGAGAATTTGGGGCTATTTGATTTTCATTGAATAGCAGCTATATATTTGTCTTTTGTATAAAATTCCATTGCATAGTGTTTGGGCGAGATCCTCAGCTGGTGTAAACCAATTTATGTGAGCTTCCCTAGGGGATGGTACCTCTCTGGAGGTGTTTAAATCATGAGTAATTTACCTTAATCACCCCTCAGTGTTTTAGTTCCTGGTGATACCCTCCCATCAGGAGTAGAACACAATTATACATACAATCCCTGCCCAAAACTTAACATAAATGCTATACAATATATTCTCTCAGAGATGCTTCATGTGGTTGCAATATCTGTCATAACTAGTCTGTGAGTCTGAGAACAGAGTAGTAATTATAAACACAGAGGGAATACAGTTTTATCTGTTGAAAAAGTGATCTGTGCAGCAGAATTTGTTTTGTAATTAATAGGGACCTCAAGATCAAAGGGTGTATCAGATCTTCCAGAAGGGCTGAGAAATTATATACAAATTCTAGTGACTCAGAGCTATTCTAACCACTTCTCTTGACCTGTTTTCTTTGGTGAACTAGATAAGTCTGACATGAATCAGTCTTGTTATAACTATTTAGGTGTTACATTAGTGATAGTTATAATTTAGGACTGATTCTTGCATACACAATATCTGATTCTCATGAAGTTCAGGGCCTACTGTGGGACTCTGGACAAATCATATCTCTCTTCAGTGCTTCAACAGCTGTAAAATTGGAATAGGGGTAGTTACCTGCCTCAAAGACAAGGTGTAAGGCGTAATTAATCAAGGTTTATGCAGCATTTTGAATACATAAAAGAATATATGAGCTCTAAGTGTAGTGAGAATTATTTTATCACCTGTTATTGGATGGCCTAAAGTACAGTGCCATATCAGAAAGGAAATATGAACTTACATTTCTTGCTCACCTTGTGGCACTGCTGATGCTATAAAATACTTGTTTCTAACTGGGAGGTATCTCTCATGTCATGGGAAAATGGAAGATATTAGTAATGTGAGTTTTACCTCCTACTCACCCAATATCCTGCTCAAAGTGGCAGGCCAGGATTAAAAAAATATATGCTTTCCAGTCTTCCCTACACTAAACTATCCATCCATCCCTCCTCTAGCATGATAATATCTATTTTTCGTTTGGTCTTTTAATATACCCCCCTCCCAAAACAATTCCCGTTTATGTAAAACAATGAAAAAGGTAATCAATGAAAATTTATCTTCTGTGAATGGAGAACCCTCAAAAAGAAAAAGGTAACTGATTTATTTTTGGCTCCTGCTATGCCAAGCCATGGTACCTCTTGGTCAGTGTATATGACTTTATAAAAGAATGATCAATAGTGGTACTGTGGGTGCACACTACATTCAAAACATTTGGATTCCATTACTTACTTAATACACGTTTTCTGTGGGGAAAATGGACTTAGTCAGTTGTGTTTGCAACATTCCACATGAAGCCATAAAAAAAGCATAAACATCTAGAAATTGTTGCAGTCCAGTTTATGAACACATCAAGACAAAGAATGAGGAGTCGTAGCCATCATTGCACACAGGGCCGGCTCCAGGCACCAGCGAAGGAAGCAGGTGCCTGGGGCGGCCAATAGAAAGGGGTGGCACTCCGACCGTTATTGGGGCGGCACGTCCGGGTCTTCGGCAGCAATTCGGTGGCGGGTCCTTCATTCCCTCCGCTTCAGTCTTCAGCGGCAATTCGGTGGCTGGTCAATCGGGTTTTTCTTTTCTTTTTTTTCTTTTTTTCTTTGCC